TTTTTTTTTGATAAAAAAAATACGACATATATATATATATATACACATATATATTTATTTTTTTTTTTTATATATATATATATATATATATATATATATATATATATATATATATATATATATATATATATATATATATATATATATATATATATATATATATTGTGTTGCTTGTGATTTTTTTAAATTTTTTTGTGTCGGTTGGTGGTATGTGACGTGTGTTCATGTTTCTATTTTTTTTTTCTTTGTGTTAATTCTTAATGGATCGCACGAGGTCAATGTCTATGTTAACTAGCGAGTATGCTTGAGTGTCACCTTAGATAATCTCATCTAAGAAGGTGAGCTTTGCATCACTATTAGGTCATCAAATTTATTGCTTGGGTCGGGCATAAACTCTCGACTATCTCGTAAAACATATGCGAGCCTTAAAATTATCTACTAAGTCCTAATAAGAGGTTAGTGATTCTCGATAGACTAAACTATTATCCTCTTCTTCTCAATTCTCTCTCTCTCATTAGTCTCTTGCCTCTCTTCTTTACACTCGTTCATTGAAAGCTAGCTTAAGCATCAGAGAGAACCTTATGATCGTAATTTGCTTGATGATGTCTCTTTAGGTCTTATCATACATTGTAGCGAAGACCACAATTAGTAATAATTAAATACGTTGATCAATTGAGAGTTTACCTAGCTTTTCCCATTCTAAAATGGGGATTTTAGGATTCAAGATAGTGTAACTTTGATGCTTAAAGAATAAAATTAAAGGAAATCTAGGATATAATTATCTTTAGGACAAAATAATTATTATGCTCAAATCAGCATCTTAATTTGATACAAAAAGAAAGCTTTGTGCTCATCAAATGGGTGAGCACAGAAAGCAAAAGTGAGCAAAAAAGAAAGCTAGCAAGTATGACACATGTGGAAAACAATGATATGGCTTTCAAGTTATTTGTTGCAACCTTTGCTATGTCATCAACCAAGAATTATTACAAGCATAGAGAACCTATTGATGATCACACAATCCATAAAATACAGGTGACTATGAGAATACTATATTAGTATTAATGCTATCTATATATATGCAGCCAAGAATTAGTTTTAATGATCAGAAAATATTTGGTCAATGGTCTTCTTCACATCTGCAATGTTGACTCTCTTCCCATGAACCTCTTTCACCTGAAAGGGCACAGATGTAAGGAGATATCAGTCAACTAAATCAGATGCATAGAAGAATTGGCACTATCAGTGTCTCTCATGGTCTACATAGGTCAAGAGTTCCCAAAGCAATATGTAATATCCAACATTTCTCATGAAACTAAAAGAAAACAGCTGATAAAAATTTTAGGAAAAAAAGAATAATAATGATTGAAAGAATAATAAATTTCTCATTGTGGAATCAAAGTCAACGAGTAAGGTAATAGGTCATATGGTGAGATAAAAAATGGAAAAAACCACTCTAATTCTGACTCATCATACTTAATTCCCAAGAAAAGATTATTTCGACTATTGACTAATTTGAGTTGACTCTAGTAGTACTCACTTTTATTGTTCTACTTTGTTTCTGTGGGTTAATTATAGATTATTATCTATAATTAACTAATTTTAGCATCTCGATATTTATATTTTTAAAAATTACATTGCGATACATATCTATACATTATAAAAGTGAAACATTTAACTTTGTTGCTCTAACAAAATCTTTTATTTTTAACCTAATAAAATTATTTTTTTAATCTTGTATAGGGATTTTAATGTTTCATTTTCATAAATATAGGAATCCTAATGTAATTTTTGAAAACATAAAAATTAGATATGGATCCTAACGTAAAATATATGCCAAACTTGGTATTACCTTAGCACGTAACTCTGCATTGCAGACGGCATTGCTGGCGGAGAAGTGCACGGAAGAGACCTCCAATCCCAGCTCATGAAGCCCCTGCAAAACCTTCAGCAGTAGCCCGTCTCTGTGAGTGCACTGTAGCTCCAGGAGAGCATCTTCTTCTACTACGGACGCATGCACGCCCACTCCGTTGCTTCCCTCGAGCCCTTGTAGCTTCCTCTTGTCCACCGCATGGTTGTCCAGTTTGTAGTTGACCGCGTAATCTGGCTTGTCAACCTCCATTGCTTTCAGCCTCCGATCGCTTTGCCGGTTTCTTGCCTCAAGATCTTGAATCCGTTTTCTGAGTTGCTTCACGTACTCGATTGTGTCGCCAAGTATTGAAGCCTTGTCCATCTGCAACTCCTCAGCTCGGACATATGAGCTTTAGATGATCTAAGATCAAAGGCATACGTAGAAGAAGAAGGAGAAGTGGGAGGCGTGCATGCCTTGGTCACAAATGGAACTAATGAACGGAGGATCATAAACCTCTCGTTGAGCTTCTCTCTCCTGCGGCGTTCAGCGAGAACATGGTTGGCACTGATTTCTTCTTGTGCCGCGCCCTTCTGGAACCTGTTTCCGCCCTCTCCATCCGTCGACTTGGGTGAGCTGCCGTCGCTCAACTTGCAATGTAGATCGCGAATGTTGAGCACGACACTCTTCAGCAACCACTGCGAAATACAGCTCCCTCGTGAGCACACCGGAAGACGATCTCTTTCGGAACTCCATCTGGAGAAGGCTGACTTCTGCGATTGAATCACGTCACCGAAGGGGCTCGAGCCCACCCATCGCTTCAGGTTGTGTCGTAGCACACTGGACACCGTCTCAGAGTAGTGGGCATCTTCTGGCGATAAATCTTGCTCCTGAGTTCCTACAGGACAATCTGCAAGTGTGAGTTCCACGTTAACAGCCAGCTGTCCGAGCTTTGGAGTCTGCAGGGATACCTAATGGCTGTTGAAACCCATTGCCAAGATCTTCAAGAAGACAATTCCAGTTTTTACAGATAGATTGCGCTGCGGGCATCTGTTCTGGGTCCAGGTTATTGGAACAATCGCTGATGGAGCCTACTCTGATGTCTTCCGACATCTCAAGCTGCATCAACTCGCTTGCTTCAGCCGCTGGAATCGTCTCCGCCGCCGCCACCGTCAGACCAGGAGGCACAGAAACATCAACGCTGTACTTCATCGCTCCGAGTTCCGATCGGGAGCTGCCTTCTATCTCGTCGCCCTCATCGTTGTCCTCCTCGTCATCATGAGCAGCATCCTCTTCTCGGTTGGAAGCGTGTATGTCCATGTTCATCTGTTGCATCATCGCTGGTTGCTGATACAGTGGATGATGATGGTCTGCCCTCGCAAAAGGATTAGAAGTCGAGTGCTCTGAGAGGGCAGGCTTGGTATGTGCATCGAAATAGTCCATGAAGTGTCTCTTTGCACGTTGTATCAACGCCATATCTTCCTCAACCTATCCGAGAATTATATCAAACTGTAGCTCAAACATTACAGTGAAGAATCGAGGACAACTCACGAGTTTGTCTTTGCTTAATGGCTACAAGAATGAAGATGTACATACTGACCTTTTCTATGTTACCTAATTCGAGGACTCCATCCACGAGAGGGATGCACGCGACTGTCTGCGACATCGAGAAAAGAAATCAATTGTAATCTCTACTCACATCTTTTCTCATGATTTATCGATTTCACGTGAAACAAGAGAAAGAAATGAAACCTGAATATGAGCACTCTGTTGGTTTTATGGAGTCCATGAATCATAACGAAAAGAAAAGGTTAGTATTATCTCAATCATAAAATCCTCACACAACATATATATTTATATATGCACATCCTTGTTAATGTCGGGAAGGTTTGTTAGGTTCTGTGGAAGATGACGAAGAGACTACAGACAAGTAGTACCTTTGCGAGAATGGCCCTCGAGAAGACCTTGCTATCAACCTCGTTTGCCCTTGTGAGCCAAACATGTCGCTGCCTTGCAAATGCCTTCCCTGGTAACCTAAAACATCGTTGAATTATACTGAGCTAAGAATAATACTTCGATACAAGGGAGTTGGAGACAATTTGAGAGGATTAATTAAGCATTAATCTTTGTTCATTATGATTCTACTATATATACCAACTACTAATCCAGTATTGTTGGTAGAGAGGGGGGGGGGGGGGGGTGATGGATGGCATGGTACCCGACGCCAGGAGGGAAGGAGAAGGAAATGCACATGAGGTAGAACCATTCAGCCTCGGTGAGATCCTCCGGCGAGAGTGCAGCACAAGGTCGCCGTGCCGGGAGGTTGGCCTCTCCCGACGAGAGCGACTCGTAGAGCTCCCTGAGCTGCTGACTCCTCTGGAGGGAGGCCTCCTCCGTGCTCACCTCCACTGGCTGCACCGTCTTCCTCGTCTTTATCGATCCATTGTAGTACCCATCTCCCCACACCAGAATTCTTTCGCAAGGCATGAGAAAAAGCAGAATTAGGAGGAGGAAGAAGGCGGTGGGACCGTTCACAATGCTGTGTTCTCACCCTTGTTGAGGACAGGGCTGCCAGAAGAGGCTATATGTCCACCGAACGCTCTGCACCACCGCCTGCAGCGTTTGCTGAAGACTGGTGCTCGGTGGGGTAACCATGACTCCCTCCGCAGCAGGAGGACGATGCTTGCCACCAAGACAGAGAGAGAGAGAGAGACGAGGCGGAGTCGTTGAAAGATACAGTGGAGGAGAGAGGACTTCTTGGTGGTGGAATCGACGTAGGCAAAGTTAGCGATGGATTGGCAAGGCATTTAACTGGTGATATGGGGATGGCTTTTGACCGGTGGTTCTACCAGCCGGTTCTCACCTGCTTCGTTCAGCAATGACCACGTGGTGGACAGCGTACTGCTCTTGTCGACTCCACCTTAACTACGTCGGTCTTCCGTAAATATGTCGCCTCCACTCCATCTCCTCAAACGACAGTTGACTACTCTTTTCATAATTATAATTATAATTATAATTATATATAATTCTAAAATTAAATTATTTGATATATATATATTTTAAAAATAGATATTTTAATTGTGTAATATAACTAAAGAAACAGCTTGATAATGAAGTGACTTCATCCTCCAAGACAAAGAAACTATCTCTAACAGCATGCTCGAGTGGGGAAAGCCACTGCATGGGAACAAATAGTCAACACTCATTTAATCCCTAACAAAATATGGTCAACACATCAGGCCCAGTTACATAATTAGTATGACCTACCCGGATCCGACCCAATTCCCTCTTTAATCGAATCGGATCTTATGGGATGTTGAGGCCTTCAGTTATTTAAATCCAAATCGAGGATCTCAGCATTATTTTCCTAATATAAACTAAGATTAATCCAAATTTTGAGAGCTGATGTCGCATGCTATATATACACTTGAAGAACCCGATAGTTCCAACAACTTTCACGACGTGAGCACCGCCATCCCTAGAATTTCGCGGAGCGGACGAAGAAGGTCGCATCGATGCCAGTCATCCCTCATCCGCGACGACGAGGCCGGAGAAGAGCGCCCTGAGTAAGCGAAACCCCTTGTTTTCTTGGAATCCCTCTTCTTCTTTGTCGGTCTTCCCCACCTTTTTCCTTTGATTGACATTTCTTTGTTCTGGCAGCGGCCGCCGGAGAATGGAGGGCCCGGCCCAGGAGCGGAGAGCCCATGGCTTTCCGGAAATGATAGCGTGACCCTCCTCTACCCTTTTCGTGCGGATCGACGGGAGAAGGGAGAGAGGCCTAGAAACCACACGCGAGGTGTCATCCTTTCTCGGGGACGCAGAATGGCATTCTTTCTATAAGTTCTGGAACGAGGGATTGGTTCGGGCAAGTGAATGCCCCAGTTGCAGACTAAATACCATTTGCATTAAAAAGGTTGATGGGTCTTGAGGGGTTTTGTTGTGTGAATTAGAGGGGCAAGCCATACTTGCGGATGAGTATTGCGGCTCGACACCTCTATATGATCCAGTGTCATAGACGACGGCAGCATCCATCGATGTAGCCCTCGACGACGCCGTGACGAGTGCCGGGGTAAGCGAAACCCTATATTTTCATGGAAGCCCTCTTCTTCGTTGCCGATCTGTCGCCCTTTTATTCTTCATGATGTCTCTTCTGCATGCCATCAAGAATTCGATCCCCTCTCTTTGATTGGCAGTTCTGGCCGTGGTAGGGAAAGAGAGCCCAGTCCACCAGCAGCTCGAACCAATGGCTGAACGGGAATGGTAGTGTGACCCTCCTTTTCTCTTCCCTAGGGGATCAACGGAAGAATGGAGAAATCGTAAGAAACCACACGTGAGGTACATCGTCTTTTGTTGCGGATGCAGAATCACAATCTTTCTTTAATTGTTAGAATTAGGGTTTAGTTTAAGTTATTTGAAGCTCTGTGACTGAATAACCTACTTGAAATAAAATTCCATCTGCATTAGAAAGATTGTCGGGTCTTGAGGAATTCTGTTGTGCGAACTAGAAGGGAGAAGTCATACCTGCTGACAAGTATTGTGCCCATGATGGAGCCTTTAAAGCCCACTCGTGTACTGTCTTTCAGGATCCAGAGTTAGGGGATCTGGTGACATTGTTGAGTAAAAAGGGGAAGGCATTCATAAACAGCTTAACAACAATCCTGTCGATAACCTACCTGAGTAATGGAAGATGAGAGTAGTATCAGAATGTAGACTTGTGAGAGGAAATCTATCGTATACAAAAGATGCTAGTTTATTCATGTACACGTTTAGTACAAGGATGATGGAAAGCATAGATGCTTTTTTAGGAATTAAAAATTGATCAATCTGAATTGGGATCATCTTGGCACACAATGTGATAAAAGATGGAGTGTTTCGATAATAGAGGTTCTTCAAAATAGTAATTGCTGCTCTTATCTTCCGGTTAAAGTAGGAATTCTCTTGTTTTTTCCCTAGGAAATTGTCTTGTCTGCCTTTGAATTCTTTATGAGCTGTTCTGATCAAAGTAGGAGTGTTTCAACTCTATTGTTAGCAGTGAAGGGATCCCTGAGCCCTCCAAACAGTTGGTTAACTTGGTCTCACTTTGGTGCTGCCAAGACATGACAGTCAAGGGCTTTTGATGCATGATAACATTTTAGTGACAACGGCTCAATCACTCTGTGTACTTATTCAAAAGGAGAAAAAAGTTTAACTTTGGTCCTGATCGTTATTGATATGGACAAAACCTATGATAGACTTAATCCTATTGTCATTGTTAAGATCATCAACCATATGAACTTCCTTAATTCATCTTTGGGTGTATTCTTGTACTTATGCTATTTGGGTTCATATAGTAAATGTAATTCATGTATATCTTAGTTTAAAAGCTAGAAAAGGGTAAGGCAAGGGACACATTTTCACTGAACTTCTGTATTCATGTATCCCAGTTGTTATCGCTTTGCCTAATGGATCAAATTAAATATTACAACTTCTAAATTCAGACATATGATCAAATTGGGCATTTAATGTATTCAATTACATTTTGACGAACATCGAAGCCTCAAGCTAATTTTGCAGGTATTTGTTAAATGCATTTGACAAATGGAAGAAGATTGGATAACTAAAGATTAAATGTCCAAAAATTTGCAATATTCTTTCTCAAATCGATTATTTTTCATGCACTGTCCTGTTATTCTTTAATATATAGCAGTAAGCTTCTGTATTACTGGATAGTTGTAGTGGATCAAAGAATGATGTTTTATATGGCCCTACCTTGCCTGTAGAAGCTCCATGTCCAAAAAATTGCAATATTCTTTCTCAATCGATTATTTTTCATGCACTGGGCTGTTTTTTCTTTAATATGTAGCAGTAAGGTTCTGTATTACTGGATAGTTGTAATGGATCAAAGAATGATCTTTTATATGGCCCTACCTTGCCTGTAGAAGCTCCATTATGAACTTTGTGGTTATCTCTTGGTAGATCACAGGGAATTCATCCCTTGATAAACATGAGAAAGCTTCAGATAAAAATACTTTTAGGAGCATGACCTTGTTAACTCATTTCTATTGGCCTTGTTTGAAATGAGCATGGAGTTACCTGTATCCCCGACATTTGAAACTTTTCTGTTGAAGTTGCATTTAGGGACAATACTGGCTATCAAATGGTCAGGTACTATTAGTGTTACAGGCAGTCAGGAATGCTAGTGGGTTGTATAATGTCATCACAAAGCAAATTTTCATTAATATTAGTTGTTTTTCCAGTTTTTATCCTTAGTCCAAAGGTGCCTTTAGTAATGCTTCCAGTTTTTTTCAAACATTAGATATCGGACAGTGTTTGGATCAAAGATCTGGTCTTGACAAGAAGAAACCCTAAGAAGCATGGACACACGCTTTTGGTGGACATGTCCATGTCCATGTCCGACCACGTCAGACACACGGGCACGTGTCGGACACTCGCATGCGATGCTGCACTCGTGTGGCCCTCACATGAGGGCCATATGCTTCACAAGAAAATAAATCTAGAGATCGTTGTAAGGAAACATATATAAATTATGTTTAGAGATTGTTGAATATTATTTGATAATTTTAATTTTTTTCAACCCATATGATGATATTCATTTGTTCACATTTCTGAGTTTATAAAATTTAATATAAATGCTATAAAACTCATGTAAATCTAATATTATATGTATATATATATTAAAAAATATGTGTGTTCTCGCTGTATCTGTTTCCTAATTTTTTTTAAAAATGACGCATCACCATGTTTGTGTCGCCTCATGTCCATGCCCCATGTCCTGTGCTTCTTAGAAGAAAACTTGTTTAGGAGCTTTCTTTGCTAAAATGATGCCACTGGTTATTTAAATCTTTCTGCTACATGTGAGGGGAACCCCACACCATACCACAGTGCTTTTTGGTGGAAATACCACCTTCAGATTGGTACAAGTTGGTCTGTTGGCTCGTGTACATTTATGAATAAATATCATTATGCTGAATGTATAATCTGGAAATCTATAGTTTTATGGAAGCATGTATTTCACAGCTTTTATTTAAGCTTAGTTGTGAAGGCTTCATTTCTGTGGGAAGGCCTGGAATTTGTTGCTTAGGCAGGCATCCAATATCTCTGGGTAGGGAGTGGTTTTGTGAATCTCAATACAATCTGGACAAGATTATTAATTAGAGGATTAAAACATTGTACCTGATAATATTTTTTTCTAAGTCTCTGAGAATGTTTCGTGGTCACATACTCCTAAGGTAAGCAGGCAGGCTGCATTTTGTACCTGGATGGACTATGTTCCTGATGTTCCCTTTCGCATTTTGGCTCTGACACCATTGTTACTTCACATGGATGGTGAATTTTCTTTCTCACAGAAAGATATCACTATATATTTGAAGTCATCAGAAGTTATTCTTAGAAATTAGCTTTTTTTGCTTGGTCCATTGTTAGTAACCAACTAGGTATTGTAATTCATCATGTTGTTTATGAAATTTCATTTTTTTTTCTATATTGAAATAACATGACTATTAGTTATAACTAGTTGCCTTGTCTTGTATCTAAATACCTTTTTACATATATGTCACCTGTAGTGGGACCAGAGCTTTGGCCATCTTTTTGCAAAGGTTGTTTGGAGTGGACACTACAACCTTGGATTTCATGACTTGGAAATAGAAGAAAACATTGCTTATAATTATAGAGCTAATTGGATGCCTGGCTGCCTCATGTCAAGCGTAAGTTTCATTTGTTTTTCTTATATGTCATTTTAGTCTAGTAAGAACATAGGTTGGTGACAAGACTATTTTGCAAAATGAATTTCTGATAGAGTCATATGATCTAACTTTATCTTCTGCAGCCTTGTTAATGGTCATTTTCTGTTTCATGTTATATCGTAGATTACCTTGCAAATTGTTTACCTGCCCATGCCAACATGTGAACTTATAAGCCTGAGCAGGTAATAAAATGTGAACATATCTGAATGGATAATGATTGGAGTATAAAATTGGCTGGTGATTAATTGAAAGAGGATATGCAATCCCCCAGTGGGATATTTTCACGACAATCAAACCGTTATAAGTATATGGACCAAAATTTCACCATATGAGGTACTTGAATTCTGAAATATGATTAAAGGTTAGACTATGGAGACATTGCTTATGGTAAAAGTAACAGTTCCACTGAGCTTTGGGAAGCAAGATTGAATCATCTGGATTATGAGAAAGTTTCAAGGAGATTTTTAGAAGACTTGTATTCACTGACTTGTTCTAAGATGATGTTTCTTTAATATGAAGATACTTTTTCATACTGTAGTAATGCTGTTCATTTAGCATAAAACTTGAATGGATTCACTTTTTTACATGAAATTTTACTACTTAATGTCACTTCCCATGTTTGAAAATCGATAAAATTACCCTAAAATCTTCTTGGCATGGCTGGGGAAAAAATGTTATTTTAACGTGAAACCAGTCTAAAATTATGTCAGCAATATCTCCCTAAAAATCAAGGATTACAGCCTTATAACTCTTCTAAGCATGATGTTAACTCTTCTTAGCATGATGTGTAGTTCAAGCACTTGTAGGAAGTCATAGCCATTGATGGTCAATAACATTTAAAGTATCAAAAGAAACTATTGGAGTCCATAATGACATCTTTTAAGATAAAGTTAATGTTGATCTCTGAATATTTTATAAGATTGATGCAATTTCTATAGGACGTATTGTTGTAAAGGATTTTGAATAATTTCTAAGGTACAGATTCATAAAAAGAGCCTAAAAGACTATCGGTGAGGCCGTATGTGTACGTGTGAAGAGGAAGTATATAGGTTTAGGTAGTTTTGTCTGCCCATGAGGTAAAGATCAAGGGTTCTTATGATACATAATAAGGTTAAGGGAACTTGCAATCACTTTCATAGAATAAATAAATATATGAATAAGACTAGTTTGGTCCAACTAGGAGTAATGTCTTTTGATTGGAGGATGATCGTACAACTGAAGATTATATCAGTGTGAGAGAAATTAGTTTAAATGAAATACATATGTCTCATTGGAATACAATAGTTTAAGGTTGACTTGAGTTGGTAGTATCTTTGTGGAGGTAATATAAATTCTTGAACAATTAATTTTAGGGCGGAAAAATATGAATCTACATGACGGGCCATGACAAAGACTTGACCTTGACCTGAACCTAAATTTGACTGTACTTTCCCAAGAAAGGTCTCAAATCAGAGTACAAATAAATAAAGTGCATCTTTGGTAACAGGCAGAAGAAGAAGAAGAAGAAGAAGATGCAGTTGAAGTAGATGATCAAGAGATAACCTTCGTGGCACTTGACAGGTCCCCTTGGCCTAAACCTAATCAACTTAAATTAATAGTGTGGAGCCTTTTTTTCCCGTCATATCAATATGGTTTGTAATTAAAGGTTCCTCATTATCTTCAAGTATGGGTTACAATCTTAGGCTGAGGGTAGATTGATTGAGTTGTTGCAGTCCTCTTTATTGTCTTAGGTGTAGTTACATGTTATTTATATATATATATATATATATATATATATATATATTTTCCATTCTTTACTTTCTCTTTTACTTATCCATGTACTTGTGCTTTCTTTCGTCACTACCCATTTAGTTATTCGAGATAAACTTCATCTGTTGCTACCGACTGATTTTGACTGATTTATCTGAGTTTTTGTTTGTCCCATATTTGCTTTTGTTTATTCATTTATTTCTGACCTATGCTTTTTATTTCTTTTTTCCCTTTATACTGCTAATTTACATGGCTACTAAAAGAAATACATTTTTTTTCTTTTTCATGTTTTGCTGCATTTTTCTACTTCTGCTGCTCAAATGTTTTTTTGTTGTTGTTGTGTGTCTTTGTGCTATAGTTTTTGCTTCCTGTCATTTCCATTTTCTGCAGCTGTTACATGATTATTTTCTTTTTGTGTGTTTCTCTCTTTTCATTTTTGCATTGTCATAGATAATTTTTTTTTTTTATAGTAATATATAATTTTGCAGTTGAATATATGAAGTTCTGGATTCTTTTATTTATTTTTTATCATCTTTTCTTGGTTACCATACAATTACATTTTTTTTTAACCTAATAAAAACATCATCTTTTGTTGACGTTCTATTAATTAATTTGAGTTTTCGGTTGCTTTTTTTTTTTTCTTTTCTTTTATCAAGTATGTTTTGGTTTAAGAAAAGAATGAATCTTTTATCACTTAGGTTTTGAGGGGAACCTTGTGCATTGACAAGGATCTTGTTTAGGATATTTGTATTTGATCATTCATGGTGTTTTTCATGTCCTTAAGGTGTTTCGTTTCGAAAAATTAAAAATTTCGCTAGTTCCAAGTTAAAAAATTTCAACTGAAAAACTTGGGAGCGCGGACAAATGGTAAGTCTCCTTGAAATCCCATACCACTCATAAACTACCATTATCTTCCTCCAAAGGATGGATGGATTGTTTGAATAAAACAAGAACATAAACATTTTATCGGCATAATGAATAAGGACAATTTATTTATTTATGTTTTTAAATAATATGGAAAAAGAATAACATGATTTGGCGAATAAAAACGAGATTGTCACAACTAACTCAAATCGTGACCAAAAAAAAGATGTGATCAATCGCTCTTCATAAGCTGTAGAAACCGCAACGCGACTCTCAGACCCAGAATTCGAGCTTCGAGCAACATCATTTCCAGCCATACACAGACGCTCCCCAAGAAGGATATTTTAACTGCAACTCTTTTGGAATCCGTCACAGCTTCAGAAGCGATTCTTCCAATTATAAAAAAGGTATCGAGAGAAGATCCTTGCAGCTGCCGAATAATACAAGTCGGTCCATGTAAGTGGTTCGCTAACTTGAGAATGCACACTAGTATGTAATGACCTATCTCTATACAGAGTGAGATGCACATTTAAGACAAAAAGGCATCAGGTAGGCTTACCAGGACATGATTGACAGCACGTAAACAGTCGTTGGTTTTCAACATCAGTAAAATTACACGTGGAAGTCTCCTTAGCAGCTCTGATATTTGAGGAAAATACAGAGAAGCATACATCTGTGGTATAAAAGCATAAAAAAAAGTACATGATAGAATCAGCTGTGAAAGAAATCTTGTTGAAACTGTCATGTCATTGTAACTAAAGATAACGGCAAACTTGTTTGTTCTAAGTTAGACCCTTGACAAGGACATGAAATAACCTGGAGTTCTGAACGGTCACCATCGTTGCCTTCCAAGACCAGATGGTCTGCAGATGGATCGATGACCTTTTTCCAAGGCCTCATAGTGAGTACTCCTGCAAATAGAGCACAAAGATCCTCACCTGCACCAAGTTTTATACTATTTTCCTTGATGGCGTTAGCATCGGCAAAAACTAGACCCTATACGCAAAGGTGAGTGAACTCACAAAGTTAACTATGAAATTTATATAAAAAAAAAAAAGAGTTTGACTATTGAGAAGAAAAGATAAAAAATGCACCTTCCAAAGTGCAGCATAGTTTGTTCTAGTTGAAAAATCAAGCTCTCTGTAGAGACCATGATCAAGTAGTATCAATTGTGGTTTTCTCCTCCCTGCACGTCACATGCACAAGCTGCTGCTTTAGAAAATATCTCTACGATTTAAACCAAAACTATATTCTTCACTATCAAATCTGATGCAGGACAGCAGTAAGAAAATTAAATTCTACTAGAAATGTCAATTTGGAAAAAAAAAAAAAAACAGGATACACGATATAAGAAATAAATAACAATGAATATCTGAACCGACCTCGATGACTTCAAAAAAAAAAAAAAATCAGCAATTCTTAAGTAGATGGCTAGTGATTATCTGAACAGAGAAATTTTATATGCATATAAAATTGTTCTAGTAACACCCCTCGACTTTATCCCATATACATTTTATATGCACCATAATATTTATGAAATTGAAGTCCAAAGACATACTTGATGGAACTGTAAGTTGTTTTCTGCAGACTGGCCATGGTTAAAAGCATGAAACATGTAAATTTTGTTAAATTTACTGGAATCAACTATGCACAAAATTGTACCATATAAGCACAAAGGTCATAAGCTAGATGCAGAAAAAGCTTCTTACCAAAAATATTCCATTTATTGGATGGCAAAGGCCTAACCATCATATTGGCAGCATGTGGGTCACAATGAACAAATCCATGCTTAAAAATCATCTCTGCAAAAGCTCGGGTGACCTGCACGATTTTAGATTGACATACAGTGACACACATTATACGTACCATTCTGATTTCTGACAATGAGAAATGATTGACAATTTAAATAGACTTACTAATTTTGAAACATCAACTGGTTCGAGTCCAAGGCTTCGTATAGCAGTCACATCAGTAATTTCCGCAGCGTCCATAAATTCCATAGTCAAAAGTCTAGTGGTACTCAGGTTCCAATAGACTTTAGGAGCATATATGCTATGTGCTGTACGAGGAGATAGCCTTCTAAAATTGTCCAAACATTTGACACTGTTCCTAGCCTCAAACAAAAAATCTAATTCCTGGAAATCATGATATGATTGCTTAAAATTTAGTCCATATTTCAAGATTAAGATCATGAGTGGCATACACACAAAAAAGTAAAAAAAAAAAAACCCATAGTAGTGTAGAGTAACTTACACTCTTCATTGCCATCACTAAAATTTGTCCTACGGATGCTTTACAGCTATTGGTAAAGTTATCAGAACTTTAGTACAGACAAAATATTGGGGGTTACAAACAAAAGTCAGATTACAAAAAATATTATCATGCTACACTGTTCAGTTTACCATAACAGTGCAGCTTTGGGCTGGCTATGTATGTGTTTACACAAGCATATGTGCTTACAAAAGCATAATATGATTGGACTTCTCCACTCAAGTTTACAGAATACATTCTAATGACAAGCATTAGATGGCAAAAGGGTGATTGAACAAATAAGAAAAAGAAGAACGACCATAAGCCAAATGTGAAATCATGACGATGAAGAAAGTCAGGAAGTAACCTGATTATTCTTATATGAATGCTCTCAGATGAAGAAATAATAGAGAATACATCAAAGAAAATGTAGTTGACCAACTTTAAGAAGCAATACAAGAGAAAATTGCACATGATTCTTCAGCATGAGCAGTACGCACAGTTTAAACATTTCTGAATATTATATAGAAAATGAACTTCATTGTAGCAAGTTCATCTAAAATGATTTGATCATTAAAAGAAAATTATATGTGATGACCATTCTTCAAAAATTCAAGTTTCATTGGAGAATAGATACATAAAGATGATATTCCAGTAGAATGACTAACAAGGTTGACAGAGTAACCTGCATATATACATGCATGTGTGACTTCTCTTAAACATTACCAAAAGCATAGTTAATGTTTGTCTGGCCCATGACTTCGTAAAGAAGTAAACATCAAAATAACAGGACCATACAATATGCTAAGTTGATTGACCAAAAAATTAATGTGGAAATCAAGGACAAGCACAAACCAAAAGCATGAAAATGTATGAACATGACACACGATACACCAGTCAGAACATGTCCATACCGATCAGACGTTTTCTGATGTGTCCAATTAAAATAAATGCGTGGAAACACAAATTAAAACAGAAGGGGAATACATGTAAAAGAAAACCTACCTTGGGTGCACTTTCACGAATTTCATCAACCAACCACCTATACAAGAAAAATGTTAGTTGGCATGAATGTTGGTTTTTGGTAGAAAGAATGAAACATGAATGCTGTCAATGTGTGATGTGAAGTTGGACAACCATGAATCAGATAATGTTCTCCATTGTTGGCAAATGGTGCTAAAAAAAGGTTCAAACAATCTGGACCTTGATGCACGCACAAATAAACCGACTCAACATTTTCAAGCAGTAGTTGAATTCAGATTACAAGAAAGGCCCTAATGTGAACATGAAAGATTGCCAAAGATCTCACTTTCTAAAATAACAATACATGTAATTATATGTATTTCATAAAGAACATCTTTACATGACGGATCAATAAAATAGAACCACCGAATATGTACCTATAGTCAAATGCAGGAAAACACCAATGCAAGAAATTCACTAGCAAATCCACAGTGGCAATATCTGCAACAGCAGTATCTGTCAAGTGAGTGTGTTGCACCTGTGTGTAGCAAAAATAAGGGAATTGAGTAGCACCAGGTATTATGCAATCTCATCATCGGAAAAAAAAAGTATTAAGCATAAATCTGATTCCTGCATAAAGAATATATCTTCCAACCTTTACAGCAACTTTTTGTCCATCATGTGTTCTGGCAGCATGAACTTGTGCAAGGGATGCACTAGCTAGTGGGTTTGGATCAAATTCTGCAAAAATCTGAGTACATATTGCTTAATTAGTAGATACTTAAAAGATAAAAGGTCCTGTATAAAGATGTCTTTTGATAATTTGCTATGAGGTGGGCAAGCGAGTGCAAGAGATGTAGCTAACAGAAATACATCAACATCTAGTATTGCAAAATGAACTAGCGATAGAACAAACTTTCTCAGGTGGTCCACCAAGCTCTTTAATGACTACATTGTGCACTTGATCATACGAGGAAACAGGACATCTCTTCAACATCGACGCCCTCATTATTTGAACATATTCTTCCGGAACTACATATTCCTAAAGGAAGATTTATGAAATTAGTCATATATAGACAATAAAATATCAGTAAGAAAGAGTATCTAGAAATGCTTGCTGCAAAAGCAGTGAAATTATTCTATAGTAATACTGCAGAAGTGCACGTGTAAACTCTGAACAAAGATAATATTCAGTTATGGTGTTAAATCTAATGCAGTCGGCATAAGCTAAGGCTCAACATCGATTGTTCAGTGTCCCGATGGAAAAGGAAAAGTTGCTAAATTTGGCTTGAATGACTCCCTAAATCCCTTCCAGGCTTTTTCAATGTTCTGTCATTACTTCAGTTCTAATTAGACAGTAGGAATCAATCAATCATCACTTGAATCTATAGGAGTTAGCCAAATTGTTGATATTCATTCTCTATTTATTTCCTTTGCAAAATAATCCTAAAGGGCATTAATTGATGACACTCTAATCCTAATACGAAGTTGAAAGTTTTAGGATAGCTATTAGATGAATAAGTGTGAAGTGATTTTCCTTTTCTCAATCAACCTCAAGGGTATAGGAGCCTTTGGATGGTTGAAGAGTTTGATGCAATCGAGCGGATGCATGCAAGTTATCTTCAAAGTATACATCTTTCACCAATGTTCCTTTGTATCTAATGTTGTAATAACAACAACAAAGTCGTAAGTTCTAACTATTTGAGATCAACTACATGAATCTCTTGTTGCCATTGAGATCTAATTTTTTCTCTGATGTTACAATACCTAATTTTTTCTCTTCTGCATCTCTGATTTTTCTTCTATATTTTTATTTTTTTATCAATCAATTGAGAAAAGATAAGCAATTGTTTATATTCTAGTGCAGCATGATCAGCCCCAAATCCTCTACAAAACTTTATTAAATACAACAACCAGATATACAATGAATAGAACCACTTTAGTACAAAGTGTTAATATCGTTGATCAGTATGTAACCATAGTACAAAATGCAACAAAAAATAGGGTGAGAGGAGAGTCCCTTGCCAAAAGGTCAGTTTCAAGACCAAGGCTATATTCCAAATGAGAACAAGAAGGCCTTTCCAACCATCCAGTGCAACAAAAATGGGGGTGAGGGGAGGAGGATAGTCTGCTAGTAAAGTCAATCTCAAGACCAAGTAAGGCTACTTTCCAAATGCAACCAAACAAGGTCTCCACCAACTGTCCAGTGCAATTAAAGTTGTCTAAAATTGGCATATAAGAACTAACAAAATTCCAGCAATTCGTGCTTTGAACAAGTACTTATGGTTCATTGAATCCATAAAGGGACAACAGTCTTTTTGTTATCACTATTTTGGCCAATTTTTTCCTACTAGTGATTTTAACTAGTGAAAATATATATGTCTACTTGTATATTCGGTCCTGTCAATGGATAGCAACCACCTAAGCATAGAATACCGATCTCTATTAGGATGATGCCATACATATTCTAATGCTCCAGAGAGATAATAACACCAGCTTCAGTCATAAGACTTCTGCCAAAAGCACATTGGAACTACTCTCACCATCCAATTTTCATTTCCAAGATCGATTATCTTCATTATTTTATATAAAAAGGAAGGAATTTGTTCAATCACATCAAAACTTGATGAATTACTATTATTTCTTTATATTCAATCACATCAAGCTTTATTACATTTCATGTAGAACTTGATGAACATTATTTCAGCTTTATATTTATTTAAGACATACCAGTTGACTAATATGTTGACCAAGCTTGATATATATCCCTCCATTGCGAAAACACAAATCCTGTAATCTATGAGCAGATCGCTTGTGAACTTCATGCTTTGCCTTGGACCACTCTATGCTTCCCTCCTTAAGGTTCCAAAGCGAGTATTGATAGTCTGAAAGGAAAGTTTGGGGAAGAGCAAAAACCAGAAGCACAAATGAAATATTATCAGTCTCTCTTCTTTTTTAATAAAATAAGCAGCATAAATTACAGGGAGAAACAAAACAAAGGATTCTGCACATACATTAAAGGTTTGACCATAAGCAAATAACGAAAAATTAACACAAAAGAGTAGCATCTAACTTACAAGCCCAAAGTGTATAATTATTTGTTCACATCATCTATGCTTTCAGTTTCATGATCCAATGAGACCCAAGCATGACTAAGATGTACTTTTGCAAAAAGATGAGATCAGGCATGACCAAGAATCTGTTTGGAATGGTATGGAGTTGTTATTGCAAGATAATGAAGTTAGTGTTGGTATTTCTCATGCAATACTGATTATCCTAACTTCACAAGTTTATGGTCTGTCTTACCTACTCTCGCATCCACAACCTTAAATCCTGCAGGATATAAATCCATGCAAGGATGGAAAAACAACCTCACCATCTAGATTTCGTTACCAACTAAGCTGGCTCATTAAATAGGATCAAACTGACCTTTCTGTGCTAAGATAGGTGATGAGTGTAAAAGTGTCTCGCTGCTTTCACTGCCGCAAATCACCACTTAAGCTGCCTTGCCTCACCCCTGGAAAGAGAAGGGAAGACCAGAGGACAAGGAGTGGTTGAAGGATCAGTGGAAGGTGAGGTTTTCGTATATTTGTCATCAAGTTTTGCCATTTTTTCTCCTTTTCTGTTTTGGTTTTGTATTCCTTTCGCGAAGTGTGTCAACTGAAATAGGCGTGTGCTAATAAACTAAAACCCTTGGATCTATACGTCAAAAATTTACACCCATTGACTACTGAGATGAAACTTCTTTGTTTGGTAGCTTCCAATAAACTATCTTCCAAATTTAGCATCAACAACATAATAATATAAGTAAACATCAAATTAGTTCTTATCCTTGCATGCTCTAAAGCTTCTTTTTGTCTTCTTGCTATGTCTGATACTTTGATGCCCATCAAAATTTGATTACTTTGGTTACAAGTATAAAATCTCAATCAAATGCAAATTTTGACACCTTATCAAATTGGTACCTTTATAGAAACGTGGAGAATATATCAGCTTGTCTTACCCAATAGCACTGAAAAAATAAAAAAAAGTGAATAATGACCAATACCAACCTATATGGTTTAACCAGTCCTTGGTCAGACCCATAAATACTGGTCGGGGTATATACTGGTCCATTCAATATTTGTAACCTTATGTTACAAGTCTACCAAAGATTGAGAACCTAATGAAAGACATCTCTAGGGGACAAGATTCAACCAAGTTCAATGAACTTTTAGTTGCATAATCCTAACATCCAATGAACACAAGGGACCAACTTCATTCGGATTCCATGAAGCCCCAAAGACTAAAGAGGTTGGTGGAGGTTTAAGGTCCCTAGATCTAATCCTTTGGTGATAGCTTAAAGAACCTTCTAATGTATTTTCATTGTCCCTAAATATACAATGTGGCATGAGTAAGCCCCATGGTACAGTGGCACTAGTCAAAAAACCATGGAATGCCACAACATGTGACATCTCTTAAGAAGTTATTCACCAAATATCCATTAGTATAACCAATGTTCCTTTTTTCTGAGGAAATATAACCAAGTAACCAACAGTTTTTAAGATTACCAAGCTTGTACAATGAAGCACCCATTTCAATTCATCCATAAAATGGATTATCACAATATAGATTGCCTAACAAATCATACATACTGTCTTCAAATCTTACTACACGACATAACAGAATTCAACTACTTCATAGGTGAGCATTAACAGGTTAAAACCAAATTACTGAACTGAACCAACTCTATTTGGTCAATTAAGTTCAATTTTCTTAAAAATTTGGTTCCAAGTGGTTTATTTTTAAATGAAATATTCAGTTTTTTATTTGCTCCTGTAGAATGAGAATCATATAAACCAAATAAACAAAAATTTAGTTGCCATAGGCCTGATTGATTTAGTAGCACTGCAATATAAATACTTGATAAGCCCTGTGCTGAAGTTCGAAATCAAGGCACAGCCAGAACACATTCTAATGTCTCTTGGTGCTAGCTTGAGTGGTTTTCAAAGCTCAAAAGTACAAAACTTTAGAATTCAAGGAGGATATAATCTTCAGAAAGAAAATTGACTCCTAAAAACCTAAATACCACTATGATGGGTAAACCTGATTCTACCCTATTGGTTTCTGCTTGTGCAGTTTATCACATTAGGAAATACACCAATTCCACCAACTCATCACTGTTCTAGATCAGTTCTTTTTTTAATTGAACTGACTGAATTGCAAATTTAGTGTGGTCAGTTTAGTTCAGATATAATCTCGTTTGTTTCATTTTTGAAGTTTAATGCATCCCAATCCAAGAAAACCAACTCAAGATAACCTAAATTTAAATGCTCACCCCTATTAACAGTCCGTCCCTATAAATGTGGACAAGATAAAAAGTCTATCTCACAATTTAAAGAACTTCCTAACTATAATATTTTGAACTCATCGGCTTTTTTGGACTAAACTGAAGAGAATACCCAAAGCAATGGTAAACAACTCAAAAACATTATCAGGAAGTGATCAACTACACAATAATCTAAAAATCCCTAAAAAGTAGTAAAACAAAATCAGGAAGTTAATCAGGATCCACCAAATTGCCAGTGTTGCACAGATCTCATCCTTAAGGTCTTCTGTCATTGAATTAATTTATACTGTAAGTTAATCAGGATCCACCAAATTGCCAGGCTACACATGTGATATATATCTCATTAAAGATCACTCTCATAATTGCAATCTCACTAAACCACCATAATTTTTTGTGATCCACATTTCACAATAAGGGACAAACCTACAATAAGTAGGTTTAATAGGTAGCAAACCTATAATGAAACTCTAGGCAGGAAGAAATACGTAAAAGGCACAATGAATCTTTCCTCAGAATTTCAGTACCTGCTCTGATCATTTGAGAGACATAATATCCCAAATCTGGGTTCCAAATTGATTTTGAATATGCATAATAGTGAACCATTAAAACAGAAAACTTAAATATACCTAAATTTAAAAGATATGAGCATATAAAAAATAAAGGTAGAAATCAGGATAAGGAATAAGTAAACTAAAAGCTAGAGAAAATAACACTGAGAAAAAAAAATAATATAGATCCTTATCAGGCAAAGAAAGAGCTCATGCTTCCAATAATCTGTTATGTAAATAATTAAACTTAGACAGAAAAAATAACATGCAAAGAGAAAAGATCATGTAGAGTCTATTGACAGAGAGAACTATTTGACAATCAATCATGTCAAATACATAGGGCTTATTTTGAGGGTATCTACGAGAAGTCATCTGATTCTAGGGCTCAAATAAAATGAGGAATTGATCTTATCATCTCCACGGTTAAACACAATCTAAAACCCTAAGAGAGGCAATTCAAGATCCGAACTATCAAAATCTAGTGATGAATGTTATTCTTGAGCTTAAGAGACAAGGCTCCTTCCACTCAGCATACTTTCTTACTTCAGAAATTAACCAAAAATTTCAGGCTGTGACACGCAAAAGATCAAGAAACAAAACAGGAAACTGGTGCTCACCTGCAATGATCATAGCTACAGTGAGGTTGTCATGGAGTCAAAGAGGGACGATGGTACAAATCCTAAAGATGGTTGAATGATGAGGTAGCAGCAGGATTCATCTGATTCTAGGGATGCAGACTCCATAAGGAATCAATCTTAATTTTTCTCGGGCTAAACTAAATTTAAAACCTTAAAAGAGGCAATGCAAGATGCAAATTGCCAAAACCTACTGACGAATGTGTAATTCTTGGACATAAGAGACAAAGTTCATCACGCTCCAGCGTAATTCCTTCCTAAAAGCTTTACCGAAAATTCGAGGCCACCATAGGTGTAAAATCAAGAGACAATAAGATCAAGAACTGAATATAAGGAGAAAGGATGGCGAATTCATCTGCCAACCGATCAAGAACGATGGTGCAAATCCTGAATGCGCAATTCTTGAAGGTCGTCGAAGGATGAGGTAGCGAGGGAATACATCAGGGCTACGGATATGAAGGAACCGATCTCATCTTCTCCCAGGTTAAACTCGATTTAAAACCCTAGGAGAGAAGAAGCAATACAAGACCCAATCGTCAAACGCTAGTGACGGAAGGCGTGATTCTTGGGCTAAATAAACAAGCTCCTCGAGCTTCACCGAATATTCCAGGCCGTGATGCGCGTCAAATCAAGAAAAAAATAGATAGATAGATAGAGAGAGAGAGAGAGAGAGACCTCCCACGACCGTAGCCCGAGCTTCACCGAATATTCCAGGCCGTGATGCGCGTCAAATCAAGAAAAAAATAGATAGATAGATAGATAGATAGATAGATAGATAGATAGATAGATAGATAGAGAGAGAGAGAGAGAGAGACCTCCCACGATCGTGGCTACGGTGAGGGTATCACGGAGGAGGCGAAGAGGGACGGTAGTGCAAATCTTGAAGTTGGTCGATGGATCGTCGGAGGTGGCGATGGCGGCGGCTGTAGCTCCTCCGCCAAGAACGGCTGCCCCAACTGAGAGCTTCGCCGCAGCACGCCACATGTAGACCACGATCCACCTTCCCGCCAAACCAGCACGAGACAAGAGAGGAGGAGCGGCGCCGCCTACTCCGAGAAGCCGACAAGCGAGGACTCACGTAGCCTCTCTCCGAAACCTAAGATGACATATAAAGGCCCATCGTTAAGGCCCAACTTTGTTGCTTCCCGTGGTGATACGGATTTCCAATTAACGGACTCGGATACATCTTCTAAACGGATTCGGGTCAATGAAAACCCGATTGCATAATTACATGAACCAGGGTTCGATGAGACCAAATCGCTCTTTTGTTATTGGGTCAATCTCGGGTTAAAGACATAAATAAGTCCGGTTCGGGTCAAGTCAAACAATTAGAACACAGGAAGAGCCAATTTAAATGGCATTCGTGTTATTAATACCAATCAATAAGGCTAAGGATTTGAGTTAATCCCGTACGTCCTCGAGGGCTCCGTGGGCAGCTCTTACGGACGCCAACACAGAGCCCGACGACGCCAGCCTTTCTCTCCCTCCTCCGTCCTCCATCTCCACCCGATCTCTCTCTCTCTCTTAGGGTTTGCGTGGCCTCTCCACTCTGACGATCGATGGCGGGGATACGGTGGTCGCCGGAGGACGCCGATCTGCTGCCGGCGCGGCCGCCCGGCGATCCGGTGTCGGACGACGACCGGTCGGTGGCGGCGGACTCGTGGTCCATCAAGAGCGACTACGGCAGCACCGTCGACGACGACCAGCGCCATGCCGACGCCGTCGAGGGCTTCCCCGGCTGCAGCTTTCCGGCCGCGTCAGATTACAGGTACCCCGTTTCCCTCTCCCGGCTCTGTTATCCCCTCTTTTGTTCTGAATCGGCACTCGAGACTTTTTGATTTGTTTTCGGTTGATTCAACTAGTCGTGTTTGCATCGTGCTGTACATTTTGATATGTATATCGTTCACTTGCCATAGTAATGTATCTTCTCAGCGAAGCTATTTTACGGATCATCAATGTTGGTATGGTGTCATTATCAGATTTTATTTCCATTGTTCCGAAATGTGTGATTTGAATGTCAAATTTTTATCTCAAAGATTGTTCCTCGGGAATCACGAATCTCAGATCCGGGAAAGCTCTCCAACGGAATGGCCTTCATGACAATGACGTCCATTTGACCAAAATTAAATACTTGACAGGCATGGACTCGATCATTATCTTCGTATATGTGACTTCAGCGTACAGGTTGCTAATTTTATTGTTCGGTCTCATGAGAAAAAGGCTTGGATTATTTCGTGGGTATGCTATGATAGATCTTATGTTCCAGGCTTGATCATAAAATATATTTCAACTTGTTTTTGGTTTAAGCAAAAAATCATTACATCGTCATGGGTAAAAATCTAATTTTGTTCACACGACAATCATTACATCGGCGCTCAGGTACGTGTAGTAAGGTGTATGTGCAACTCGTTCATTATGATACTGGTTTCTTTGGATGTGTCATCCTAATCAAGTGTTGATGACTAAATGGAGATGAATGTTACTAGTTCTGTTTTGATATATGGATGCAAATGCAGCTCTGACAAAGATGCTCCTGATGCCAATGAGGTTGAAACATCATTGATGGGCTCACAAAGCTACTGGAATTCTACTTATGCTGAGGACCTTGCGAATCTCCCTGAGCATGGGAATTCAAGCGAAGTTTGGTGAGTATCTCTTTGATGTTGCAACTTATTTGAATTTGTATCGTTCATTATGATGATCATCTAAGTTCAATATTATTGGCATTGCTCTTTCCTAAATTTTCAGCATATTTAGTGTTAAGGATTGCTATTTCATTGCATGGATGTGTAATGATGCCTTTCGACACATTTCTGAACTGTTCCAATCATCATGCTTTGTTTCTGCGAGCAGAATCCCAAAAGTGACCTAGTCATATATCAGCACCTCCAATGTGGTTCCGCTTGGTGTGCGACAGTGCCATGGTGTATTCTGATCCATGCTGACATATGTTAATCAGCATGGCGATCCTTGTTCTGGACTTTCAAGAATTAATATCTATATGATCTACTTGTTAACAGTAGATACATATCACAATGAGTTATTAACATTTTTGCCTTAGTTTCGTATGTCATTTTTGCTGGCTGATTAATAATATCCAGTAAGTGTTTTTCAACAACAATGATTTTGCTGTTGATTGTCAATTGAAACTAAAACAAGACATGTGTTCTTTATCAATTGGTCGTAAATTGGAAATAGATTGTAGTCAGGAATTCGAAATTTTGTTAAGTCTCTCGTCTTTCTATTATTTATTTGTTACTGAAGTTAACATAATCATCCTTTTCCCTGCAGGTTTGGTGTTGAAGTCATGGATATTCTTGTCAAGTGGACAAAAAACTTGTGTGCCAGCATCTGCCAAGGTCTAGATCGATCTGATGACAATAGCTGCAAAGCTGAACCGGGTGACACCTTCAGAGACTTGTCCAGCTGGCGTGTACTCGACATTGGAACTGGGAACGGTCTGCTTCTGCAGGAACTTGCAAAGCAAGGGTAAACATTTCATTATTTATATGATTTGGATTTAGCAATTTGCTTCAAGCATGTTGCAGTTTAGAGAAGCAGTCAATATTAGATATAGATAGCATTACTTTTAATCTCAAATTGTCCATTTATTTTATATTTGGAAAATATATGTGCATCCAGCACATTTTTTTTATCAATGTGATGTTGAACAATATTGTTCATTGATACTTTCCTTTCTCTATGGATTTTGATAAATTCAACATCTAGATTTGATTTGCATAATGTCGAAACAACAAGTTAACAGGTTTCAGAATAGGTTTTGGGGCTATTATCCAACACTAATCACTGATCCATGACCACCTGAATTTGAGTTGGGCTTTGGAACAGAGGAGTGCAGGAAAATTGATTTAAGCATTTTTGGAAGTTCACATTGACAAAGAAATCAACATTCAGAAGAGGCAAGGTCATCAATGAATGTGGTCGCAAGTACATACTGGCTAAAGATTTTAGTGGCAACATCAAGCACAGCAGGCAACAACATCTACAAGTTGTTAACACTTAACAGTGATTGTTTTCCTTGTCATTGAAAATATACCAGTTAACTTGTCACCGAACTGTTAAGGCTGGTTGGCAAGATAAATGCTCATAAAGACCTGTAAGTCAATATTTAATTTCTTTACATCTGATCAAGAACTGAAGCTATTTTCTAGAAATGTCGATATTCAAAATTGTTTACCTGCAGTTTTTTATGCAATCTTGTATGGTTTAATCCTGATTGTTCCCTAAATGATTCTGTTTGTATTAGGCTTAGCTGGAATATATTCTTATTAGTGATTCTGTGGAATCTCCACTAATATTTAGATTATTCTATGGCTCTTTTTCCTGTCCAATATGTTTGCAAAAGAGTAATTATTGATAATTTTGCAGGTTTCATGATCTGACTGGAGTTGATTACAGCGAGAGAGCTATTGAGCTTGCCAAAACTCTTGCTGTTCGTGGTGGATTCTCCTACATAAACTTTGTGGTATGTCTTAAGCCATACTTCCTGCACTGTTTGCTACTTGCTATCACTCTTGTATGCCCTCTCCGTCATGACACAATTGTAATTGTTGGTGATCATGCACCCCCAGACAAGAGCATCCAAATAACTCTCTGATGGTGCTTAATATGATTGTGCATCTTGTAGTCTAAGCTCTTGAAGAAACTATGTTTATTGCAATTTGAAACTACAAATAAAATCTGTAATCTTGCAGTTTGAATGATGGCCTTTAAATGTAGGAGCATGATCAAAATAGAGAACTATGATGAGCTTTAAGAAAATAGTTCAGATCCAGTCAGTATAATAGAGCTGGAAGTTGAGTGGGAGCCGTAAGTTAGGGAAACCTAAATTGCCTTGGAGTTCAACCACCAGCTTATGATAGCTGTCTGATTAACAGTTTTAAAAAGACAGTAACAAAGAGAGATTTATTTGGACTACAATGCTAGTTTATCATCGGTCATTCAACAATGATGGTGCAAGTTTGATTGAGGACACTAGCAGGTTAACGCACTCAAAGTTTTGACGGATCCAGATAGATTGTCATGGTGTGCCAACTTCCAAGATATGCGACACATGATGATCGAAGTTAGAAAAGAAATCCAGACACTATACCTAGGCTTCTAATATCTGTTGTGCAGTATGTCCTTTAATTGTGTTATAGATGTAAATCATGTAATACCAACCATATGGACTTATAAATTTCCTCTGCTTTTCTTCTTTTAGTGATAGATGGATCTAAGATTGAATTTTGTTATTTAAATCATCTTTCCCTTCATGATATGAACCTATAGGCAACTTGACGGTAGCTGTTGGGTTTCTTTTGTAAATATATTCTCTCTTTCATAATTATCTTGCAGGTCGACGATGTCCTTGAGACAAAACTTGGCAGGAGCTTCCAACTTGTTATGGACAAAGGGACTTTGGATGCCATAGGGCTACATCCAGATTTTCCTGTCAAACGGTTATTTTATGATTTTATCTATGATTGAAACTTTTAGAGATCTACTGCTCTTGGTTTCAATGTTTCTGTATCATCTAAAATTTTTCAAGCATTATTGACCTACTCCATTATAAAATCATACTTTAAGTTCTTCAGCAGTAGTTTGTTATAGCTGTACGATGAAACGTGGTTTGAGTTTACGAACCATTTCTGCTTGGTTACAATTTGGCATGTTCCTGATACAGATGAAAACAACAATTAGCAACAATTATTTCAGGCAGTATTACCTTCCTCCATTTATCATTCTTTAAGGGAAACACTTTTTTTCCATATTCTTGAAATACTGGGATGTTTAGAGAAATCATGTGAAATATCTGGTGCTTTAGATAACATTGATGATTTTACTTTCATAATCGTATGAATAAGCTTTATTGACTTTCTTGGTACTCACGTTCCAGGATGATGTACTGGGACTCTGTCTCGCATCTGGTTGCTCCGGGCGGGATACTGGTTGGCAACTTATAGTTCATTTATAAATTTGTTCTTCGAACAGAAATATATTTATTCCTTCCATTTGAAACCAATTTCAAATTTCAGAAGCTTCCATATGTTATTTCTCAGACTTCACCCCTCACCATCTCCTTATACACATGGATTTTGTTTGCAGGTAATCACTTTATGTAACCGCACAAAAGATGAACTACTGCAAGAGGTTGAACAATTCAACCAACAAAGGCTTGGCTCCCAAGAAGAGAACTCAAGCACTGAGTCTGCAGTCTTCCAGTACCTCAATCATGTTCAGACCTATCCTACTATAACTCTCGGCGGTGTCGATGGGTCTCGCATCACCACTGTAGCACTAGTCCGCCTTTGACTGGTTCATTGTTTCTTTTTATTCTCCCTTTTAGAGTTGATGAACTGGCCTCTGCCTGTCTTCTATTCTCACTTTGGGAGTTCTCTAATTTCATTTGGTTTTCCTCCATTGTCTTGACAGGTTGTCACTTGTCAGTTACGTTGATGGATTTGTCATGTGGACCTGCTGCCATTTGACTAATGTTTATCAAAATTTATGTGGAAAAAGATGCTATAAAATTGATGGAAATCGACCCCATGTCAATATAGAATGAGTACTGTGTATTATTGATTTTCGTCGTAACGTTAATTATAAATTAGTTCTTATAATTAGTTACCTTTAATATTTCGATCTTTATACTTTCAAAAGTTATATTGAAATTTTTATATTTACAAAGGTAAAACGTTTAATATTGTTTCTTATCACATCGTGTTTATATTCATCTGTTTATGTTCTATGATTCCATGTTGAATATTTAAGACCACAAAATATGTCCTGTTGTGATCAACACTGTTCTTCATAGGATCCAACGTTAAGCTCGTCAGAAGCATAGGAAGAAAACTACGTAGCCAATCACTCATTTCACACACTCTCTCTCCCAGATTTCATGCTTCGCAATCACTTAAACGATTGCGATCTCCTTCTTCGGAGAGAAACCAAACCAAAGCAAGTCAACGCGAATGCTTCCTTGGAGTCTCCTTCACGCTCAAAGTGTATTGCTCATTTTGGCTCGAGGAATCTGAGCCAGCTTTTGTCGGGATCGCTTCGATTCCACATGTCGGTATCATGAATGAGTGCCCGTTCCTCCAATGAACCGCGACATCGATGTTGCCGTCTTCGCCGTCGTCGTCTGTTTTGGAAGAATAGAATGCTTTCGTTCTGCTGCTACTAATGGTCGAGTTTTGATTTTAGTGGCAACTCGAAGGCAGACGATCTCCATATATCCCCTTCTCGTCTCCGTGTTCTTCCTCTTGCTAACAGCAATCTCCTCGTTACTTCCATAAGCCCATGGAAGACAACAAAGACGTGTACACGAAAGATGGGACGACAGATCTCCATGGAAACCCAGTTATCAAGAAGAACACCGGAAATTGGAGAGCTTGTCCCTACATTCTCGGTACAACATGCATGTACATGGTTTGATCTTGTTAGCTTCCGCAGATACTTACGCTATGTGGTTGGCTGATCTGCAGCAAACGAGTGCTGCGAAAGGCTGGCGTACTACGGGATGAGCACCAACATGGTGAACTACATGAAGGATCATCTCCACCAAGAGAATGCCACAGCAGCGAAGAACAACACCAACTGGTCCGGTACATGCTACATCACACCTCTGCTTGGGGCGTTCATAGCTGATGCCTACCTGGGAAGATACTGGACGATTGCCGGCTTCATGATCATATATATCTTGGTAAGGAACCAATGGAGTCGGTCGGGATTGATTGTGTGGAGAATTCAGGTAAGTAGCTCGTCTTCTACTTGATTACAGGGTTTGACACTGTTGACGATGACCGCGTCAGTGACGGGTTTGAAACCTCCTTGCCAAAATGGTGTCTGCGATCCAACGACGGCACAAAGTGCAGCATTCTTTGTGGCACTCTATCTTATTGCGCTGGGGACGGGAGGAATCAAGCCATGCGTCTCTTCCTTCGGCGCCGACCAGTTCGATGAATCCGACGAGTCGGAGAAGAAGAGGAAGAGCTCCTTCTTCAACTGGTTCTACTTCTCCATCAACGTAGGCTCCCTGGTTGCTTCTTCTGTGATAGTTTGGGTTCAGACGAACGTGGGATGGGGATGGGGGTTTGGGATCCCGGCGGTGGTGATGGCTGTCGCGGTGGCGAGCTTCTTCTTCGGCACTCCCCTGTATCGGCACCAGAAACCCGGAGGAAGCCCGCTTACGCGCATTGCTCAGGTTGTGGTGGCATCTTGGAGGAAGTTTGGAGCGAAGGTGCCCGATGACAAGTCACTGCTTTATGAGATCACGGAGAAGGAATCCGCCATTCGAGGCAGCCGTAAGCTTGACCACACAGATCAATTCAAGTAAGTCCACTGCAACTCGCATGCAGTTGGCATGGATCGAAGCGAATGAATGGTCTGATTCTTTCCCTCTCAGGTTCCTCGACAAGGCTGCGGTAGAGACGCAAGCAGACAAACTGACGGGTCCGGTGAACCCATGGGGGCTGTGCACGGTCACCCAAGTGGAGGAGCTGAAGAGCATTCTGCGGCTTCTGCCCGTTTGGGCAAGCGGCATCGTCTTCTCTGCCGTCTACAGCCAGATGGGCAACATGTTCGTGCTGCAGGGCGACACCATGGATCGGCACATGGGCCCCCACTTCGAGGTACCGGCGGCGTCGCTCTCCATGGCCGACACCATCGGGGTGATCATGTGGGTCCCGATCTACGATCGCATCATCGTGCCGGCGGTCCGAAGGTGGACCGGCCGGGAGCGCGGCTTCACGCAGCTGACGCGCATGGGCATCGGCCTCGTCATCTCCATCTTCCCCATGTTGGCAGCCGGTGCTCTGGAGGTGGTAAGGCTGCGAACCGCGGCGCGGCACAACCTGTACGACGACCCCGATGCCTACGTTCCCATATCCATATTCTGGCAGGTGCCACAGTACTTCATCGTGGGCGTCGCGGAAGTCTTCACCTTCATCGGGCAGCTGGAGTTCTTCTACGACCAGGCACCCGACGCGATGAGGAGCATGTGTTCCGCCCTCTCGCTCACCACGGTGGCGCTTGGCAACTACTTAAGCTCCTTGCTCGTCACGATCGTGGCTGCCGTTACGACGAGGAACGGGAAGCTCGGATGGATCCCGGATGATCTTAACCGCGGCCACCTCGATTACTTCTTCTGGCTCCTGGCCGTTCTCAGCCTTCTCAACTTCGGCGTGTATCTCTTGATCGCCAAGTGCTACACCTACAAGAAGACAATAGACGATGAGATGACAACAGCTAATGACGCTGAGCTGCTGTGAGGCTTGTAATAGGTTGGGTTGCTTTAGCAGACAGGCGAGGCTGTGGAAGAACTCCACCAGGTGTTTGCGTTTTGTTCGATGCTGGTCGTGCTTTAATGGAGCTCTGCAAGCTGGCAATCCTGCGATAGCTCGACTTGTTCTTGTGACATTTTTAGCATCCCTAAAACAAAGAAATCCCATCTCGAGTGCTTTCTATATATACACCATGAAGTTTGAACAAAGTGAAACCATTATACACCACAAGAGATGAGATTTTTCCTTCTTTTTTCGATTGCATAAAAAGAGTTATTGAAGACAAGAAAATGCGATACATGCGCGGGGCTTCAACACAATGAAACTAATCCACAGCCATAGGAGATGAGATTTTTCTTTCTTTGATTGCATAATAAAGAATTGTTGAAGACAAAGAAACAATGCATATGAACATGTTATGCTGTCGGGAGCAAAATGATTATATGCAACAATCAAATTTCAGTTTCTTTTTTAAAACTCATAAGCATCAATGCCCAGTTCAGCCAAGACGTGCAACGATGCGGGGTGATTGTAGCACTTCCAAGTTCAGTCCATGCTGGTATCTCCAACGGGGAAACAAGCGGTCATGATCGATGATGTCCGTAATCAACTATGTACCAACGGCTAATCATCTATGTACCACTCACTACAGAGTTGGAATGGATGTGGTTCCCATCTTCTCCATGCTTGCCGTTCACTTGCACTCTCTGCCTCTGGTTGGAAGCAAGAATAGAAGTTTGCATTCAGTCAGGAATAGCAAAGAGGTAAAAGGATGGGAAAAATTCATAGACAGGTGCAGATGAGACTATGTTCTTAAGAGACCGATACTGACTGTAAGTGACACATGTTAGAACATGTGATCTGCATCATCTTTATGGGATTACAAGAAAAGAAAGAGATACCTAATAATACAACTTAACACATTTAAACAAACCTATTGCTTTAAGTAAATTGATTATGCTTAATCAAGTAATTCCATGTCAGCAGGCTCCATGCAGAAAATGTTTGTAGAATAATATACCAGTCTAATAATCTTAGTTCTGATTGCCATGACAATATGAAGCACACTTCAACTTCAGTGCTTTTCACATACACAAGTGATTGGCTTTGGATATATACTTACAGAAACAAATCTAAAGTAAATAAGGACTATGCCAGAAACAATCCAATAATGACAAAGCTATGCTAACAATACCTCTGTGCTATGATGCTTTACGATTAACTACATAACACATAACATACTATAAATAAAAGATGATCAATTACATCAAAAAATACATTAGGTAAAAGTGTCATACCCAATCAGCGGCATCCACTGTATTTCCGTTCAATAATTTGCGGTGATCTTCTCTAAATTTTCCATCTTTCTCTTTGACATTCAAAGGTAACAATGGTTGGGATCCACTTGAACGATCAGGCATTTCTGTCATAAATAATATGAAATTTTTTCACTCAACCAGTATATATTATGAAGCAATATAGAATATAAATCAATCAAGTAAAAGACATATTTACCTGGTAGTTTCTTGTCAATGAAGAATACTACTAAATTCACGGTATACCTGCAAGCATACAAATGGAAACATAATTTAGTTGCCATCAAGAAAGTTTATAAAGAACATAAAAAGAAAATACCAGGACACAGGTTCAACCCACCATGCAACGACTATGTCTACTGTGTAATGTTTGCGGGAGGCTACTATAAGCAAACTCTGAACAATAGCAATAACCCAAGCAAGAAACTTAATGAACCTGCAAATGTCCAGCTTCGGTTAACTTTGATAAATAACAAGAAGCTAGAGTTGCACAATGCAACAAGTGTACCTTTTAGAGCCATATTTGTTGTAAGTAAGCACAAAAACTAGTGTAAATATCATGTGGGATGAGAATATAAGATCACCACAGCCATAAATGACCCCATGTGGAACTGCCAGCAAGAAAACACAAGATAAATACCTAACATGGCAATGATGCTATTTAACTTGTAGGATATAATATTGGATAAAGGAACACACAGTTAATTAGAAGTACTTCAGTTACACTCTTCGGTGCGGGCAGTCTGGCAAGCTCCGATCCCTAAAAAAATGAGGAAAAGGATGTTGGTGATGTTACAGATCAAAATTATTTGAGAGGCAAAATAATATTAAGAACTGACAGCTATTCCCTGCATATACCTCACGACAATGATAGTTAGGACCAGGAAGCTGCGTAGAATAGAAAGTGATTATCCGCAATACTTGAGAAGCCTGTAAAGACCAT